TGCATACCCTTGATGGCCTGGGCAGTTTCACGTGTGTTCTTAAAGTGAACACGAAGATTTGAACCTCTTGATTTATATGGTTTCGTAGGGTTTTCTGGGTCAAGCGAATAGCGAACCATTTTCAGAGGTCACCTCAGGCCGCTTAGGGGGAAAGAGGAAGAGCCTACAGCATCCGTTCTTGATAAAAACCCTCAACAGCTCAACAAAGTAGGCATAGATGGAACATACCTCAACACCATAAAGGCCATATATGAAAGACCCACAGTTAATATTCTCAATGGGGAAAAACTGAGAGCCTTTCCCGTATAGTCAGGAACAAGGCAGGATATCCATTCTCACCATTACTATTTAACATAGTACTGGAAGTCTTAGCTTCAGCAATCAGACAACAAAAAGAAATAGAGGACATCCGAATCGGCAAGGAAGAAGTCAAACTTTCACTATTTGCAGACAACACGATACTCTATGTAGAAAACCCAAAGGACTCCACCGAAAAATTGCTAGAACTAATACATGAATTCAGCAAAGTCATAGCATATAAAATCAATGCGCAGAAATCTGTTGCATTTCTATATATCAATAATGAAGCAGCAGAAAAAGAAATCAAGGAATTGATCCTATTTGCCATCGCACCAAAAACAATAAGATACCTAAGAATCAACCTAACTAAAGAGGTAAAAGATCTGTACTCGGAAAACTATACAACAGTTATGAAAGAAACTGAAGAGGACACAAAGAAATGGAAAAGCATCCCATGCTCATGGATTGGAAGAACATTGTTGAAATGTCTACACTACCCAAAGCAATCTACACATTTAATGAAATCCCTATCAAAATACCACCGGCATTTTTCACAGAGCTAGACCAAACAATCCTAAAATTTGTATGGAACCACAAAAGACACAAAGTAGCCAAAACAATTCTGAAAAAGAAAAATAAAACTGGAGGTATCAAGATCCTGGATTTCAACCACTATTACAAAGCTGTAGTCATCAAGATAGTATAGCACCGGCACAAAAACAGCTACATAGACCAATGGAACAGAATAGAGAACCCAGAAATGGTCCTAAAACTATATGGTCAACTAATCTTCAACAAAGCAGGAAAGAACATCCAATGGAAAAAAAGACAGTCTCTTCAACAAATGGGGTTGGGAAAACTGGACAGCAACACACAGAAGAATGAAACCAGACCACTTACACTATACACAAAAGTAAATTCAAAGTGGATGAAAGACCTAAATGTGAGACTGGAAACCATCAAAATCCTAGAGGAAAATTCAGGCAACAACCTCTTTGACCTTGGCTGTAGCAACCTCTTACTAGACATCACTGGAGGCAATGGAAACAAAAGCAAAAATGAACTATTGGGACTTCCATCAAGATAAAAACTTTTGCACAGTGATGGAAATAGTCAACAAGACTAAAAGGTAGTCTACGGATTGGGAGAAAATACTTGCAAACAACATGTCTGATAAAGGGTTAGTATCCAAAATCCATCAAGAACTTATTAAACTCAACACCCCAAAACCAAATAACCCAGTTAAGAAATGGGTAGAAGGCATGAATAGACACTTTTCTAAGGAAGACATCAGGTGGCTAATACACACATGAAGAAATACAAATCAAAACCACGATGGGATATCACAAGAAGCGACAGGTGTTGGCAAGGATGCAGAGAAAGCGGAACCCCCCTATACTGTTGGTGGGAATGCAAACTGGTGCATTCTGGAGAACAGTATGGAGGTTCCTCAGAAAACTAATAATAGAATTACCCTACAACCTAACAACTGCACTACTAGGTATTTACCCAAAGGATACAAAAATACAGATTTGAAGGGGTACATGCACCCTGATGTTTATAGCAGCATTATCAACAATAGCCAAATTATGGGGGGATCCCAAATGTCCATTGACTGATGAATGGGTAAAGGAGATGTGGTGTATATATTTAATGAAATATTACTCAGCCATCAAAAAGAATGAAATCCTGCCATTTGCAATGATTTGGATGGAGCTAGAGTGTGTTACGCTAAGCAAAATAAGTCAGTCAGAGAAAGACAAATACCACATTCGCTCATGTGTGGAATTTAAGAAACAAAACAGATGAACATATGGAAAGAGGGGGAAAAAAGGAGAGGGGGGAAAGAGACTCTTAATGATTGAGAACAGACTGAGGAATGATGGAGGGAGGAGAGTGGGGGATGGATCAGATGGGTGATGGGTATTAAAGAGGACACTTGTTGTGATGAGCACTAGGTGTTGTATGTAAATGATGATTCACTGAATTCTACTCCTGAAACCGATATTGCATTATATGTTTACTAAAATTTAAATAAAAATTAAAAAAAAGAAACCTAAGAAAACTGCATAGTCCTTATAGAAAAAAAATTATAAAATGTAATTTACAGATACGGAAAGAAGACTTAAATTAATGGACCTGCCTAGCATATTCATGGATTGGAAAATTCCTTATCATAATAAGGCTGACCATTGCCCCTAATTTGAGCTCTAGATTCAACATACTTCCAATTAAAATCTCAACAGGGTTTTTGTTTTGTTTGGTTGTAGAAATTGACAAGGTGGGTCTAAAATCTCTATGGGAGAGTCAGGGACCTCAAATAGCCAAACCTTAGCTGGTGGTGGTTGTGGAGAAGCAGGCTGATATCTGCCCAACCAGATACCAGACTACCTCTCATACTTGGTCATTAAAAACATAATAGTCAACCAATGGGCAGAATGGAGAGCCTGGAAACTGACCCCTGCGCACGTGGAAGCTTGGTGGACACCAGTGGTACCACTGCGGGTCCCTGGGGGCAGGGGTGAAACTACCCAGTAAAGGGTTCTGAGACAATTGGTAATCCACATAAAGGAGGAATTAAACAGGAATCCCTGCTTCTCACTGACAACAGAAATCAACTCCGGTTGGATTAAAGGCTTAAATGTGAAAAGCAAAACTAAACATTTTGAAAGACCATATAAAAGATTTTCTTTATGACTCAGCATGGGATAGGATTTCTTCAACCCACTCTTCCTAGAACCTTCTCTCTGAGGAAATAGCAATCCTCTCCTCCCAGGCTTTCAGGTCAGAAGCCTTGAATTCAACCTTAATTCCTCTCTCATACACCCCAGATCCATTTATTAGCATATTCTGTGTGCTCCAGCTTACACAAATACCCAGAATCCTACCATATTGTACAATGGTACCTCCAGAGTTGTGCAGGGCCCCAGCCCTGCTCCCTAGACAAGCCATCATCATCTCTCCTACCTGGGTTTTTGCAGTCGACTCCTCACTGGTCTCCCCGTTTCCGCCCCAGCTCCCCTGCAACTATTCTCAACGACAACGAGAATGGTCTTTTAACCAACAATGCCATTCTCCTGCTTGAGACGCTCCCCTGGCTTCCCCACCCCGCCAAGGGAAAAGATTTTCTGGCGGCCTTCCCCACCGAGCCCATCTCCTGTCTGAGTTCCTCTCCCTTGCCCTGGTTCAGCCACAACCCGGATCAGCAAGGGCAAGGCTGACGGGGTGGGTAGAAACAAGAGGGATGCCTGGGTGAAGGCCACTGGTGCCAAGGCTGAATGAAGCCCGAATTTATGGCTCACCGTAAGATAGCAATGCGAGCCAATCCGTTAGGGAAAATATAACAATTGACTCTTGTTGAGCGGGTGGGTACAAGCTGGTTTGCGCTGGTTCCAGCACCACCCCTCGCACGGCTGCCAAGGTTGTGTTTCTCAGGCTGGCGAAACATGCACAGATGTCTCTTAGACAATTGTTTTATGTCTGGGTAGATGTTACCATATAAGGTTGTGCGCACCCTCGGGTGATAATTATTACAGAGACAAATGGAAGGCAGGAACTCTGAGGCCCAGAACAGAAGACAATCTGAGCTGTCTTCTCTCTCCCTCCTCCAGCACCACCCCTTCTCCAGGCTCAAAGAAAGAGCCAGAAAGGTTTCCCGTGGCTGTCTGGTTCCTTGGGTGACGGGGATCTGAGCCCAGTGAGGAGGTCTGCCAGGCCCTGGGGGCACGGGAGAGGGCCTGGCAAGACAGAGGGAAGAAAGAAGAGTACCAGAAGGATGTCATGTTTGGCAATGAGGCAAAACTCGAATGTTGGGGGCCGAGAGAGGCCCCTGCGGGCAGGCTGTGGACCCCCAGCTGAGCAGGCCATTAAACCACTTTGGGAACAGGGTCATAGCTAGGGAAGTGACCCAAAGCCAAGGAAAGACTCTGGGGCTTTGGAGGCAGCAGAAAAACGTGGATTTGAGCTCTGATCCACCTCCTGTTATTGAGAGATCTTGGGCAAACTGTTTCCGATGAGTCCCTGAAATGGAGCTAATAGCTCTCACCCCAAACAAACAGGGCTACGGTTGGCCCTCAGGAAACACTGCACATTGCTGTCCGAATCTCCAACCCACCCTTCTCCCCAGGCGGTGCCACCCCACAGCTCCGGGAAGGAAAAACAATGGCCTGCCAGCTACTCGTTTCGAGCCCCAGGCCAAGCACCTTCAAGTGGCATTTCAGAGCCCTGTCAATGACCCAATGAGGGCCACGTCATCATTATTATCCCCATGGTGCCAAGAAGGTGACCGAGGCCCAGAGAGGTGAAGGATCCCGCCCGAGGCCACACCCAGGAAGTGGCAGAGCTGAGCTTTGAACCTAGGAAGCCTGACATTGTCACTGTGACCAGAGGTGCCCAGGCCAGCCAGGGGTGCCCGGGCCTCCCTCTGGCAGACTAGGACACCAGAGGTCCCCGAGGGAGTGAGGAGCTATTTGCCAACTAGGATGGATCATCTGCATGGTGAGAATACATTTGCCCGGGGCCTGGATATTCCCAGCACAAGGCACAGGGCCTGGCCCAGAGAGGGCGCTTGGTGGCCACGCAATGAGTGTCCCGTGTCCCCAGGAATGTGTCCTGGGTCTCAGACCCCCTAGGGGTACAGGAAGGGGTGGCTTGGGACCCACAGGTGTTGACAGCCCCTCACCCTTGCCCCTTGGCCTGACCTTGAGACAAGTTTGATCGCATGTTGTAGCCCAAATCATAGTAGTCTGAGAAGATGGAGGTGATTTCCACGGGACTCTGGGTCCTGCTGGGCCATGAGTTTGCCCTCCTCTGGCCCTCAAAGACCTCGCCGATGGCCCTTCGAGCCTGCGCAGCGAGCAAGGGAGAAGAGACAAGGGATAGAGAAGCAGGGTCAGCCCTCTATCTCCCCCCAACCCCTCCTCCCTTGCACCTGCCCCACTGCTATACTGCAGCCTTCAACCAGGCCCAGGGCTGGGAGCTGGGAGAGCGGAAGGCCCTCCATTCCTCACACCACCCCAGCTCCCACACGGGCACAAGTGATGGTAGTGATCATAGAACCTCCTCCCTGCTTTGAGCACCTACTGTATGTCATCAGAAGAGGTCTTCATAAGCTCATATTACTCCTGCCATTTTATAAATGAGGAAGCTGGGCCTCAGGGCAGGACTCACCCGGTCGCCACAGCTGATAAACCGCAGAGCCCCGCTTGCCTCTAGAACAGAGGCATCCCCCACGTCAACTCGGGGTGGCTCCTTAGATTTCACTGGGGCCAACTCCTTCCTGTACCAGCGAGGGACCTGGAAGGCTCAGAGTGGCTGAGCCCAGGCCTAGGAGCCAGGAAACTGGGGTTTGAGTCCCAGTTCTGCCATAAACCAGCTGCTGACATTGGGCAAGTCTCTGGTCTTCTCTGGGCCTCAGTTTCCCTACTTGTAAAATGGGGGTGGGGGCAGAACTGGATGGTCTTTGAAGTAGCTTCCAGCTCTGATAATCACTAGCTCAGTGACACCCACAATGTGTCAAAGATAGATAGAAAAACCAGATCTCCTGATTCAAACCCAGGACAATGATGGCCAAAGAGAGAAATGACGGCTTCCAAGGCTGAGAGGGGCAGTGAGAGATAGTGACCATAGAGCCAGCCTCAAACTGGGATAAGATCTTCCAAGTAGGACAGGGCATTTAGGATTGTGACCTCCCAGACTAGCAGGTGGGTGTGGTCACCACACCTTAAGATGACAAAGAAGAGGGGGACCCAGCCCTTTGTGATCCTGGGAATTCCACTTGCTCAGTGTGACCCCGAGCAGATCACATCACCTCTCTGAACCTCTGTTGTACTATATGTTCAAAAAGAAGCCATAAGTCAGGCCTGGCCTACCGCACAACATAGTCACTGTGGGGGTTGAGGTGATAGCTTTAATCTATGTCTCAAAACTCCAGAGCAAGAAGAACTCCTAGCATTTGACCAGAAACAGCAGTTTTATCTCAACTTTCAGTTGACCGGTAGTGATTCTCTGGAATAATGTATCAGGTGGGGGAATGGTGCCAGCATCGACTAGTGATGTCTGCCACGAATGCAGTCTAGGAAAGTTGGGGTATGAATGCCATTTGTCAGCCTGATCTAGTCCAACTGCCTCACTTGACAGAGGTAGACACTAGAGCCCAGAGAGGGGAAGTGACTTATCCAAAGTCACCCAGCATTCAGGGGGCAGAGCCAGGATCAAACCCAACTCTTCTGATCCCCAGTCAATGCTGTCTCCTTTAGGAGACTTGTTAAAAGCATCTAATCCAACACCAGCCTTATAACTGAAAAGTAGTAAGGGCCAGGCCCCCAGAATACGTTGGCCCAGCTTGGATCCTCATCCCATAGAACTGGGTGAGTTTGGTTAGTTTACTGAAACCCTCTAAGCCTTGGGCTCCGTATCCGTAGGAGGGTGATAATAGTACCTTCCTCACTGGGAAGATCAAATGAGTTGTTTTATGTGGCTCTGCCTGGCATAGTCAACATCCCTCTCGAATGATATTACTGTAGGGACTCTGTGCTCAAGAGCAGGCTCCTTGGGGGTCCTAAGTTTCCATGCATAACGCTTCCACCACCCTTGGTCTCCTGTGCCCGCTCAGATACCTGCTCCTCAGAGACCAGCTCGTCCACCACGTTGCTCCCAAACTTGTGACGAATGTTGTCAGGAATGATGCTGCTCCTCTGGCCCTGGGCTCCTGTGTTGGGGCCTTCCTTCAGCCCCTGGTTCAGCTGAGCCCCCTCTCGGAAAGAAGCCCTGCTCTCCCTCGAGGAGGGTCTGTAGCCTCCCTTCCTCGGGGACCCACACTGGGGGTCCATCCCCGGGGACAGACGGTCACTGCTGATGATCGATGGGGGTGGAGTCCTGACCTCCTCCAGGTGGACCTGCCTTAGGGGGCTGCCTCCCCGGTACAGGGTCGGCTGTGGGGAGACTGGGGCCTGGTACTTGAACTTGGAGGTGTCCAAAGGGCTGGGGGCAGTTCTCCAGGGGTTCGTGTCCTGCTGGTCTTCCTTGCTGTTCAGATGGGCCCTGGGCAAAGTGGTTGTACCTGAGCAGGGAGAGAGAGGGAGAGAGGCAGGGAGGGAGGGAAGGAGGGAGGGAAATAGATGAGTGCAGACTGGGGAGTGGGAAGGGAGACAGCGATGGGAGTGGGGAGCGGGGAAAGAGAAAGACACAGAGCCCCAGAGCCTCGGAGCAGCAAAAGAAGGTAAGGGAAACTGAAGGGACTCCACGAGACACTGCTTTCTCTGCTCCTTTTGCTGCCTCTTCTTGCTGGGACCTGCACCCCTGCCTCACACACGCCTACAGAACAGACAGTCCTCACAAAGGTCAAGGATTTAATGATTTTTTTGGAGTCTTCCAGCACAATAGATAGTACCTAAGGAGTGACATGAACATTTTCCAAGACCACCGACTTACCAAGACCCCTGGCTCCAGGGTGTAAGTGACTTATGGGGACACCTAAACATGCATCTTTGTTCCTGGATGGCTGAGAAGACAGGGCACTGGACCACCGTCCTCAGTACAAACCCCAGGCCCCGTGCAAAGACGAGACTCACTGTCCTTTCCCTTCTGAGGCTCCCAGACACTCGGTATCTGCACTCTCTCTCTCTGTCTTCAGTAAACTGCTCTCACTTCCTCTCGGCACGCATTTGATTTCTATCCTGTGTGAAACCAGAGACCATCTTGGCTGGTGCTGCGGGACCCCTCTCTGGGTCCTTGGACCCAGCCAGCCTGCATCAAAGGGATGGGGACAGACAGAAGTCACAGGAGCCAGAAGCACAGGGGAGAAATCAGGAGAGACAGAGGAAGCAGGTAGTTCAGTCTGCCAAGCCTCCCACCAGACGGGATCACCCCCCACATTGTTTTTGACAAAAGGAGTGGCAGCCCCAGACTCTCCAGTCTTGAGGTCTAGCTGTGGGACCTTGATGTCTCTGTGCTTTAGTGAACCTAGCTCCATTTGATTAGTTCCCTTCCCCTCTTTGAACCCCCCAGCGAACCAGTGAAGAAAACCAGCAGCATCGTTGGCTTGGCCAAGTCACAGAGCTGGATGGCCAGGTCTTTGCTCCCCATTCAGAGCTGCTGCCCAACCCCCACTTCCCTCTGCTATTGTCACTATTCAGGTGGTGTCACCCCAGCCACTTCCCTGCTCTCATACCCCCACAGGTCCCTTCCGCTTCTGGCCCTGACTCCCAGTCCCAGGGGGTCCCTGCTCCCAGCCTGCAAGCCTCCTCCCTCTCTTCACCCAAGGCTCCCACCAAACCGGCTACTCCTTCTCCCCCAGCCAATGCCCTGTGCCATCCCACCTCCCAGGGTCTGCCCAGGCTGGTTCTGCTACCTGAGGGCCTGCCCCTCCTTCTCCCTGAGACAGAATCCTACCTCCAGCTCCTTCAAATGTATTCTTACCAGGAAGTCCTCCCTGACGCCCACCCCACGCTGGCCTGGCCCCAGGCTCCACACCCCTTTCACGAGTTTTCCCTTTCTCCATCACTATGGCTACAAACCTTCCCATTTTCCCACCAAGATGGGAGGTGGTGGTCTCACTGAGGCGGGTCCACGGGTGAGTTGACCCTGGACCTCCCTCAGCCCCCACCAGACAAGCCCGGTGCATCGGAGCTGTGGGTGGAGGCCGTCAGCCAGCCCGGGGAGTAGGGGCGGCGGGGCCGGCAGACCCAGAGGAACCCTGTGCCTCATCAATGTAACACATCATTTCTTTTCATGGTCCTACCGCTGACATCAGGATGCATCTGGCAGTTGGTGACCCTTAGTCTAACCAGCAGGGTTTTCTCTTTAAGTGGCGGGTAAGTCACATAAATAACAGCGTATCTGACAACTAACCTGATGGTGACCTAACACAATTTATATAACATGTTACACATGATAATACCCACGTGGTGTATAAATTCTTCCTTATCTTATTCTTTCTTGTATTTTCTGTGCAAAATACGGAAGAGGAGCCGTTTGCCCACCCCCATCCCCTCCTACCACACACACACACACACACACACACACACACACACACACACACACACACACAC